TTTTTTTTTTTTTTTTTTTTTTTTTTTTTTTTTTTTTTTTTTTTTTTTTTTTTTTTTTTTTTTTCACTGTTCCAAATGGAACATCTCTCTTTTTTCTATTAAGTAAGAAAATGCTTCGAAACTCTTCAGGATTTCTTTTAGTGATCCTGCCTTTGAGTTGTTTAAATTCTTTATTGGTATATTTTAGTTATTGCTTCGTTATAGTTATTATTTCCAAATTTAAAAACGAATGCATTGATTTTATTAAATAGATGCATCACAGGAGAATAAGAAAGGCAGGAGTTCTACATCAAATTTAAATTTCTTATTAAATCTGAATTTTGTTCGTTTGATGACTCATTGAATCTCTGGAGAGAAAAAATTTCGCAATCCCTCCTTCCCCCTTTCAGTCCCATTTTCTGTCAGGATTTGTCCTGATGTACAGTTTGAAAAATTTTGCACACATTACTATAGTTTCATTTTATTAACTAAATGCATATTTCTTTTATTTTATCTGTAATGAATATTAAAATTAAACTATTTCAATATTTTTGTTTTTGAGGTTTCGGTAAGTATAAAATATTTTGTAATTATTATTACATTTCTTACTAATTAACTATTAAAGTAATACAGAAATTGTGCTCCGGAAAAAATCAGGATTTTTTGCTAACCGCGATCCGGAAGTTTCTGAAAATCCAAGGTCCAGAAGTTTTAAGAAATCATCAATCACATTTATGTATAAAAACTCTTTCATATTTTACTTAAAAATATTAGAACTAGAATTTATACTTGGCATCTCTTTCATTTGTAAATATTTTTTCTGGTAGAATAATAAATGCGATTAGAGATAAAAGTAAATTTATACATAATTATTGATTTAAATTAGGCTGCATATAATTTATATAGAATTTCATATTTTGAAAATGTCAATGATTTAAATTTATAAAGACATTAATTTTTTGAAATGCATCATTAATGATTTTACTCAAGAAATGTTCAGTTTTTTTGTGTTGGGCTCACAATCACCCCTGGTAATACCTGAAAATTTAAAATGAATTTTCTAATGTGGGCACGTAACATTTTTTCCTTACATGGCCATATTTTTTATATAAGTCAAAATGCAAATAAATACTTGCTTCTTCATAAATGCAACATTAGTGAGACTAAATATTTTAATTTCATGTAAAGAATCTTTCTTTTCTCAAAAAATTAATTTTATTTTCATTCTTACATAGCCATGTTGGATCATTCTGTTGTTGATGATGAATATGTTTCTTTCCTATTTTTTTCACAGTCTATGAAATAAAAGTTTTATATTAATTTCGTAGAAACTATCATATCCTCTACTTTAACCATTTGTATTGTTTTATTTTCTCACCTTCCCTGTGGTATAGTGTCTTTCGAAAAGAATAAAAACAATTTGGTTTTAGGGACTGTGGCAGGAATACTTATTTTCTTCGAATAAATTTTATTTACAATATATGCAATGTTTCTAAGTACAATGATTCTGTGGCATCCTAATTTTCTTTTTTTTTATATGCCAGATTTAACTTATAACTCATGTTTAAATCACATTGAGTATTAAATGCATTATTCTGTAGTTTATGCATATTGTAAAACTGAACCCCATAATGAATAAACAAAAAAGAAAATCATTACCATAATTGAAAAGCACTGAAAATAATGAACAGGAAACACTACTTAATAAGTACATAAAGTGAGACTTACAAATAAAACGCCTCTTAATAAATCAAAATATAAATATAGTTACAGTTAGATAAATCACACCAAAATAAAATATAAATTGCCGAATCAGTAAGAAATTATTAAAACCAAGTGCTGGAACATGTTTGAAAATCCTGAACAATGGAACAAAAATATTCAATGAGCAAAAAATTCTTTGATTTGAAATTCCTGAATTGAATTCTTTGATTTGAAAATATTCAGTGAGCAAAAAATTTTAATTTATTAGTGGGCGTTTCATTCTTAAGTCTTACTTTGTGTACTTTTAAGTAGGGTTTGCTGTTTCACTATTTTTCAGTGATTTTCAATTATGGTAATGATTTTCTTTTTTGTCTATTCATTATGAGGCCTTGGGGAACTGTCAGTTTTGGTTTTTCCACTGACAACAGAAACGCTCCTGTGGGTTTGTGGGCAGTATGTCCCCTGATGAAGTGCTGTCTTACAGACACACGTATATATTTCAATTTTTACAGATTTAATGTTTGTTTGAATTTCTAAATTAAATAAAGCAAATTTGGTTTTAACTGTTTTAGGCACTTTTCCATTTTGATTTAATGTTTTAGTAGTTTACTTCTTTGTCTCCTTTTTTTTGTTAATTGAATTCATTTTCTGATTAGACTACATTCTAATTCCTCATAAATCTATCACTACTTATCATTGCATANTATCACTACTTACCCCCCCCCCCACTGCTGACTGATACAGTTAAACCATGAATGTTAAGTCAGTACACTCATGTTTAGTTAGTGGCCAAATCTTATCTAATTATTATTTAAAGATAACAGTCATTGGTTGTGGGTAATAAAAATTTTACTCTCAATAATTAAAGATTGGTTTTTAGATGCAGGAATTAATAGATGCAGGTGTTGCATTGTTACAAGTAAGTAAAAATGATTGTCTCAGGTAATATTAGGTTTAACTTTAATTAATATTTGTTTTTATTTAATTTTGAAATTCTTTAAAAACAAAAAAAAAAGCCGTATATCGTTGGGTAGACTGAAAAATGTATACTAAAATGATCTATCATATTGTGGGAGGGGGGGGGATCTTTTCATCACTGTCCAAAGGACTAGTGTTGAAAAGATGTTGATAGTCTGTTTACATATTTCTATTGGCTAATTTTTTTTTAAAAAGAAAAAATTACTGTGGTCATAAAAAATTATATTACAGAGAATGGGTAATATTCACAATTATGCTGAAATGCTATTTTGTGATGAAAACACGTACCAAAACCAATACAGCTCACCATTTCTTTACATCGAGCGTCACTCTAGGAGACCACTAATAGTTCTGGTGATCTGAGTCAAATTTTAGTGGCCCTGTGCCAATTGACCACCATCGATTTTTAGCCGTGATGTGTATTCAAGTATTTAATTTATGAACATTTTTAGGAAATCATTTCATCCAGAGAGTACATTTCTTAAACCAATTTTTGTCAAATTTTAATTTTTTCAATTTACTAAATAGATATTTCTTAGTCTACTTCCATTTATTTAGTTTCATTTAAGATAATTAGTTATAATTTCTGCATTAGTTCAATGTAATATTCATTTGAAAATAATTCTAGGTTTTGTATTAATTGAAAATAAATGCCTCCGCTGAAATACAGTTCTAGTGATTACTTATAAATCACATTGAAAATTTTTACATCTTATAATTTTTATTAATGAAACAGGAAAATGAACGTCTTACCTGTGTTGAAATATTGATAGTTTTAATAATAACACATAAATCAGACTAAAAATATTTGTTATCATATTTCTTTTATAGTAATATTCATTTTATTTCAGAACATTATTTCGACAAAGCCCCCGGAATCTACATTTAGGAAACTTGCCCCATCTAGAAATCGTTACACTTTATTAAAAGACGAATTGTGATACAAAAGTGATGAGTAAGTGTGTCATATTTATATGTTAATCACTTATGGTCATTAGTTAGTGTAAAATTTATATTTACAATCAAGCCTTTCGTTTTTTACCCTTTTTTAAAAGTTGTATTATTTTGTGCTTTATTCTTCATGCATTTTAAAATGTTTAGTCTGAACATTGCTAACATGTCTTGAAGGAGGATGCAGATTATTGAATTTAGTCCTCCATTCAATATATATTTCCATTTTATGTTTTAAATTAAGTTTTCAAAAAAAAAATTTTTTTTTCCTTATGAAAATTTAAAAAAAAAAAAAATTTCAGTTAAAATAAATATAAAAAATAATTACTTTTTTAAATAAAAAAAAATAACATTGTTATTTTTATATTGAGTGTTATTGACTGAACTTGTGTAAATCATATTTGTATATTTTTAAATCAGAATCTACTTGAGTTTAAACTATTTTTCTCGATATTTTGAGATGCAGGGCAAAATAAAATTAAAATTATTTTTTAAAAAATTATTTAGGCGAAAGCAAAGCTACAGTGAAGTATAGAGGTATCAGTGGCTCCTCTTCAATTTGAAATTCAAATTGAAAAAATTCAGAATTTAGCAGTTAGAGTAAAGAGATATACACGGTTTAGCTGTAATTTTTGATTTGTTCACTGTAAGAAATAACTTAATAAAATAAAGAAAAGCAAAATTTAGAAAAAATTATCAAGTAATTTTTATAATAAATAGACCATTCTCACTGTGGGGATCTATAATTTTCTGACATATTCTGCTTAATAACAGAATTGGTCGCAAAATAAGTTCAATCTTGAAATGTTTTGCTAATCCATGAACAAATATGTAATGAAAGCAAACAATTCTAATATATGTTTTTTTTATTTTTATTGACATTTATATTACAATGTGGTGTGTTTTGTTTCCATGTAAACATTACAGGGGTGATTATATTCCGGGTGTACCCCGAAATTCCAGGGTTTTCATATCATCTGTCCAGAGGTCTAGAAACTAAAGCAGGGCATGTGATTTTTTGCGTAATTCCGTTTTTCTCAAGACTTGATTAACGGACTTTTGCGAATCAAAACTTATAATTGAACAAAAATTTCACCGCAATCTAAAATTTAAAGTCAGAATTAAGTTCTGCAATCTAAAATTGAAAGTTTGAAACCTTCGCTACATCACGTTAACAAAACAAGCGATTTTTTGCAATTTTTATTACTTTTTTTTTGTCGGATTTTTATTGTTTTTAATATTTGAAACTATGCCAGAATCTGCTAATATAGCGATTTATACTCACACGATTTTAATATCGAGCATCGATTTTCGTATTTACCTGATTTGAATCGTATTCAGGCAATTTAAAAATCTTACCTCTCGATTCGTATTCACGGCATTTAAAAATCCAACATCACAATTTGTATTTACCCGTTTTTGAAAACAATATCGTAATTCCTATTCACAGTCATTTTCACAGTATCTAAAAATCTGAAATTGCTATTTATATTATCGCCTTTCTAAATCCAATGTCGCGATTCATATTCATGCGATTTTAAAACCCAATATCGTGATTTGTGATTTCGCATTCTTAAAATCTGATATCGCGTTTCTTGTAAGAACTAAATTTTTCTTAAATTTGTTACTATAAAAGTGTGTTTTACTGAAAGGTAATTTAATTATAAATCTTTGTTCAAAAAATTATATCAAATACGAATAGTCTATAAATTGATTTCAGGGTTTTGCATTTCCTGTCACAATCACCCCTGACATTGTAAAATGAAGCGCCGGAAAAAAAAAATTTTGTATTTTCCAATCTCAGTTTTACTTTTTTTTTTCTTTTGTAGGGTAAACTAGCCAGTGAGGGAGCACTTAAGCTTCGCTTGCGTTTTAAAAAATCATATTAACTTCAAAATTCGTAATTTTAGTTGAATGACAGTGTCAACATATTTGTTACTAATTGCAAACTCTGTAAAAAAAAATTGTAGAGTACTTACATAATATTGTTTTAAAGTTTTGGAGGTTCAAATAACAAGTAGTAAGAAGACCAAGTGAAGGAACAGCTCTTACCAGTGAATGAACGCTCAGTAAAGGAACACTTAATTTTGGTTACTTTTTAATGCTCTTCATGAATTTATAAACCATACAAATATTTAAAAACAAGCCTAATCTAGAAATTATAACATATAAATGCTTCGATAACTTTAACTTTTTTTTTGTAATCATGAATTGAAAATTAAAGTGTTAACATATTAACACATACTGTTTATTCACTGGGAAACCTATGCCCAGTTAAGGAACATGCCTGTTCCCTCACTGGTTAGAAGCTGTTTTTCATATTTTTAACGTGCTTTTGATGCGCAACATCACTAAAGGTACAAGAAAATTAAAGTTTATCATTTATTTTCATTAACTTGGGAAAAAAAACAGTAAAGGAACACTTGTTCCTTCACTGGTTTTTCATCGTTTGGTGATCCAGTGAATAAACACCCCCTTATCTCAGTACTTTATTATGCTATGATGCTTAAAAAAATAAAACATAACTTCAACAACTATATTTTGAATTCTCTTTTTCACAGTGAGAAAAATAAAACTATTACATGCAATTAATTCCACTTCAAACATATAAATACAAACACTCACCTTATAATTTTTTCAAAGAAACAATGTGTTACAGAGATAATAACAAATTCAGCAATTTTTCCGGAGAAGTCTATTTGACCAGGTAATCCAAAACGTTGCTAGCTGACTTCCTATTGTTTGGCAGTAAGCTATTGTTACCAATCAATCTAAAGAAAAACTTTCAAATTCTTATTTTTAATCAAGTGTTCCTTCACTGGTTGGTTTACCCTAGGCAACTTAAATAAATTTTGTGTAGAACTGGTAATTTTTTTTTCTTTTATTATTCAAAATTTTTTACTAAGTGTTGATTGCATTTTTTTTTCTTTTGAAGCTTAATGTCTTTTCCTGGAAAATGAGGTAATATTAAAAATTATGTTCTTTACTCAAATATCTGAAATACCTCGATTTCTCCCGCATTCATCATAGTGAAGCTTTTATTGTGATAGATGTATAACTTTTGAATAATAGAAAGAAGAAAAAAAACAGCTCTCTGTATTTTTTTCTTCTTTTAAATTTGACCAAAAACTCTGTTAATGACTAAATCCTCATAATTTTATATAGGTGATCATGATTTTTTTTTCCAATTCATTGCAGATAAGTTGAAAGGAAGTCTTTCATAGCACACAAGTCACATGATAATAAATTCAATGCATCCTTCATCTCAGATCAGCAAACGGTTCTGGTGTTGTTTGTTCACTGCTTACAGCATAACTCTCATACCTAGCTAACAAATCTATAGACCTGAAATTTCATTGTACTCAAAATACTCTGTTGTACATTTTTTTCACAGAGAATGACGGTTTTTCTATTTATTCAATACAGAATTTTGTTTTATTGTTTGTTATTCATTGTAGTGTTTATAAAAAAAGTGTGATTTTCTTTTGGGGGAATTTTTTCTATACATCACTATGCAATTTTATGGTGTTACTTTGATTATTTACCAAGTTATATTTAAATAAACTTACTCTACACTGTTACCTCATAGGTGTGAACAGTCGCCTTATCACTAATTTTCTAATATGCAATCTTTAAGTGTACATATGTTTAAGTAAGTAGCCTGTTTTTCATAAAACATTTTGTTATTTCTTCAAAATCATTGAGTTTGTTCAACATGTACATAAAAATCAAAACCTTATAACAGTATCCTATGTATAAATTTGACTCCTAAAAATGCTAGTAATCTAGTGTTAAATAGTATTGTAAATAATTGCTATTTTATTTTTACTATGTAGCTATATTTTGTATATACTTATCTTAAATTGAATCGAATAAGTCAGTTTCACTAAATTCTAATTTGGTAGTGTAATGTTGAATTATGGTAGAAACTTAGAAGTTATTTTTTTATTATATTTTTTGACAGTAATCTTTGAACTACTTACATTGAAACTTAATAAGCCGACTTAAATGATATTTCTTTTTTCGTCAGTTGAGTATAACAGCCAACTATTGCTGAAAAGTGTTTCGTTATGCTTTCTGGTTTGAATTATTGTATTTTAAATATGTATTTTTGTAACTAATGCTCTACAATTTTTGTTTTTGATTAGATTATTCTGACTACTTGAGCAAATATGTACATTTACCCCTCTGTTTTCTTATAAGACCTGTTACATGTCAGTAAAAAATATGCAAAAAAATTTTTGTCAGTACTTGTTCATTTTGACTACTTGAACAATTATGTATGTTTACACCTCTACCTTCTTTAAATCTGTTACAAGCCAGTACAAAATATACAAAAAAATTTGTATCGGTACTTATTCAATCTGACTACTTGAACAAGTATGTAAATTTACACCTCCACATCCCTATTAAACCTGTAAACAAGCCAGTAAAATAAATGCAAAAATTTTTGTATCAGTACTGATGCCAGAATGAGTATTAACTGTAGAACTGACTGCGGAATATAAGACATTGTAGAAAATCATCTCAGAAAAAAGGTGAACTCAAACTGTAAAATTTGTAGTCACCTTTCTGCAAGCTGATATTTATATATTTTATTCCTCTAAATTTCAAGAATTACGCAGAGGTATCTTGTTAATTGTGCATGTTATGAGAAATGGTTCTAAACATTTTTATAATGATTCTTCATCCCTGTCAAATATAATTACAATATACTGAACAGATTTTCTGAATAGTGCAGTAATAAAAAGGATGATTGACTGCAATTGTATGTAGCAAATGTTGAAAGAATATTTATTTGAAAGCTTTTTTTATTTAAAAAAAAGTTTCATTTTCTGTATTCCTATTTAAATCTAAGATTACTAACTTAGCCTTAGAATACTTTTCCAATTTAGTTTCAATTGTGGGCCGCTTTAAAGAAATTATCAGGGATTGAAAAAGCTCTTATTAATAAAAACGTAAAATTATATTGTGAAAAAAGATAAAAGATAATGTACATTGTTTTTTTAATATACTCTTTTTTTTCTTTCTTTTTTTTCAAAATGGATTTTCCTTATAAAATTCAGAATTAACATAAGTAAAGGTATTTTTAATGAATGATTCTCACTTAAAATTACGTCATGTACTACATGGGCCATTAGAAAACACCCGTTTACGTAGATCTACAATTCAAACAAGCTCTTTTCTTGTCATAATGAAGATTCATCATTTTTAAACTCTTAAAAAGAATTTCTCTGTCTTTCAAATGCTGTAACTCTTAAGAAAGAAATATCCTTAATCAATTATTTAAAAAGTATTAATTTACATTTTTACTACAATATTTTATTTAGTCAAGAGTTCCTACTTCATTTTTTATTTATTGCTTGTGATTTGTTTCATTTTTAGTTTCCCCTGTTAATTCATTTATACATGTAGATCATGTTAATTTTGAATTTTCAATGGTGAGAGGTTTATTTTTTCAATTAATGGTATTTATTTTCTAATATTAACTACTCAATGTCCATATTTGTCTAGTTATTAAAAAATATTAAAAATTCGCAAGACTATTTGGTCTTTATGTTAATTTCACAATTTCTTTATGAAATTATCTTTCATGTTTTGAACCAGTTGCAAAATATTGCAGTAAAATAGTAAACTAAAATATATTTTGATACTTCTATTTAACAATATTTCAAGGAATGCAACAAAAAAAATTTTTTTTAAGCAAATACTTTTATAAAGGGCATTTTCACAGTAAGTTTCTGTTTTTAAATTTGTACCATTTGCATTTTAAATTGCTATTGTAATGCAATGTTTTGCAAGTAAGTAGTGTAAAACATAATTACTAAATCCAATTTATTTCTTATTGAAAATTAAAATTTGGATCTTGTGTTTACTTTAAGAAATACGCCTTTGAGTTTTTCCCTTTTATAATAGGGTTGGAAGGATAACTTATGTATCACTTTATAAAAGGCTTGTAGTTCATTTTCTAAATGCCTATCTTTTTTTTATCTATACCTACAGATATTTTTCTAAGTTTCCAAAACTAAATCTTTTGTCTGTAATATTTTAAAAACAGAACTGTTTTAATTCAATTCAAGCTTTGTATTGGGAGGTTCTTCAATGTGTATTTGCATTGAAAATTATGATGTACTTTTTAATTATATAAATGTAAGAATACTTTGCAATAAAGAAAAATCAAATTTGGTATTTATATAAGTTTAATTATTTATAATTTATATATATAAGGGTATCCGCGCACCTGGAAAGTCATGAATTTCGGTATTGAACAAAATTTGTGACATACTATTTTTAAAAAAAGAAATCATGGAAAGTCATGGATTTAGGTCTCCGAAAAATCTAATTTTTAAAATGGAATCTCCCTCCCCCCAATTTCATCCTGTTCCAAATATCTGAATTTCTAACAAAATCACCACTCAGTCATATTTTATTTGAATATAAAATGATTTTATCATGTTCTTTAAAAATTATGGTGTTCTTTCAAAAAATGAAAGAAAAAATATCATTTCTAGAGCGAATCATCCTTTAAACTCTCTTCTGTGATTTACGAATTTTTACTATTATTTTTTTTTAATTTTATCAATTTAAAATTCTAGTTGAAGCAAACCAGTCATTGGCGAATTTTTTTTATTCCGAAATGAGAACAGAAAAATCAGGAGTATTTCTCTCCTTTCTGATAAACAAGAAAAGTATCTTTAGAATATAATTCTGCAGAAGAAAAAAATTTTTGCTTTTGTATTTTTTTCAGCTATTTTATTGTTTCAATTCTTTCCTTACTCTGTTTTTTAAGTTAAAAATCTATAAAGATGAAGAGTATAATAGTTTTGGTTATACCTATTTCGAATAATGTTATTATAATGCTTTTTTTAATTTATTGTTGCGTTTTCGTTGGAGAAAATAGCAACTTCGTTAAGTCATGAAAAATTCTTGGAATTAGTCATGAAAAGTCATGAATTTGAAAATCTAAAATGTAGCAGATACCCTGATATATGCATACACCATTATTGGTTCCAGTCAACTTCATTCAAATAATTTTCATAATTTAATTATAATCGTGTGCATTATAGTTAACCTTGAAAACTTTGTTTTTAAGAAATTTTACTTAGAAATGATTTAGTTGCATGTTTTGAGGAATCATTTTAATTATCAATGAACAATTACAACTGTTGGTGTTAATATCATAAATTATTAAAAAAATTTAAGTTACATGAAAATGAATCAATGCCAATGAAAAGTACTTATATACATATTATATTACTGTTTATTTCCTTCCGAAGAAATCTGTATTTGAAAATTGTTTTGATACACATTTAAATGGACATTTTTCTACTTCTTACCTTCCCACATTCTTAATTGTGTATGAGTAATTGTGTAAGTGTATCAAAAAGAGTTAAAAATCTCCTTGTTAACTGTGTAATTGCCAGCAAGATTTGATTAATTATCAAACAATCTCCTGATATGTGTTTGGATCTAAAAATGGATAGAAAATCCTTCTTGGAGTGACATGTTGTATTCTCGTCTTCTGAACTGAAAAACAAATTCCATTCTAGTTAATGAAATATTTCTTTAAAAAAAATTTTTTTTTCCTTCCATTTATTCTATGAACTGGCAACCATAAAAAACCGTTTAAACAAGAAAACAGCATTGATTTTATCTAAAATATTTATTTGATTTTCCGATATGTAATTAGATAGTTACATATCGTTTCGTGAACTCCGTTATTGTAATAAGTTATTACGAAAAAATGAAGCTATTATGAAAACCTCGATATTGCGAACTGAAAGAGAGATGCAAAATAGTTTGTGATAATAAAAATAAAGTGTAATAAAAAATCTATATGTTTTAATCAAATTTTAATTTTAACCATTCAGCAGGGCTGATTGTTCTCCGGAAAAAGTACGGATTTCCGGATTTTTCGTTGACAGTGATCCGGAAGTTTCTGGAGATTGAAGATCCAGACGTTTCACAAAATCATTGATCACAGAAGTTTCCGGAAATCAAATTTTAAAAGGTGGAACTTAAGATGGATACTTTATGATGTATTTTTTATTTATTTTTATGTATTTTTTATATATTTTCCAGATGGATACTTTATAAGCTTATATTCATGATTAATATTCATTTTTTATCAATTAATAGTTGTTATAATCATAAACTCAAGAAAGAGACATATTTGTAAATTTTAATTACTTCTCCAGGTCATCATAGGTATGTGTAAATGGTATGGGTATGTGTAGAATTTTAAATAAACTAAGAAATATTGAGACAAAGGAAAAAAAACCCGATTTAAATGTTTTTCAATTTAAACTGTTTTTTTTTTAAACTCCAGAAATTTTCCGGAATTTCGACTTGGACTCACAATCACCCCTGCCATTCAGTTAAAACTAATTCTATTAAAAATATTCGAATTATAACTGTGTTTTCAATTTAAAAGCTATGGAACTTATAAAGTGATAGTACAGTTATGTGAATATTTATGCATGAATTTTATGTAAAAAAAGAAAACATTTATTTTAAATTATGACAACATATTTACATTTTTACTTTATTTTATGTTTTTCTGCAATCTTTCTATTGCATCACCCTTTTTTTTTTCCTGGTATATATCTAGATCCCATAGTTTTTTTAAATTATTATTTCTTGTTTTTCTCAATCCTTGCTTCTTACAGGATCATTATTGTTCATAGTATTCTTCCCCATAAGTATCAGTTTCTTTTGAACAAATTTTGAAAATGAATTAGCATTTTCAAGAAATGATTCATAGAATTGTTCAATAAAAGTTTTAAAGAATTAAAATTTAAAAAAGCATTTTAAATTGTACAAAAATCAGAAGAAAGAAAGTGGCTTTCAAGAATTTCATGAAATCGAGTTTTACTGAAAAATGCATTCGACTGAAAGATGTTTTTTTTTTTCTGTTTTGTTTCAAAAATTTAAGCACAGCAAAATTCGCTAAATTTATTCAATTGAAAATTCTGCGACCTAATTACGGTAAAATTCTTCAGTTATAATCGAAATGAAATGTCGAAAAGTGTTCATAAATTAATATTGATTTTTTATAGGGATTTTTGGAATGACTGTTTCAAAAGTTTCAGCACTTAGTGAATTTCTTAGTAAATGCGGGATTGGTTGACTTTCGCGGGATAAGTGACTTATTGCCTGCAATTCATGAAGACATGCGGATTATGTATATCAAATCAAGAGCTGCAACACTAACATTGCCGAAGAAAGTTGTTTTGAAAATTATACGCGGAATAAAATTATGCACTGTTTCTGAAATTTCTAGCATTTTAAATAGATCAAAACAAGTTATTTATCAAGTGTTGAAGAAAGAAGATGATTTCGCTTGAGAACAAGGGGTGGACGACAGCGAGTAATAGTGTTCAGACTAATAGGCAAAATATTGTCGGTGTAACAATGTCCAAGGACTCCATTCATGCAAATGTTTCGAAAAAAATTTGCCGCTGCTGCAACCCATGACTTTAACTTCATCAAAAACTAGCGAGAGTGAACTGGGCCAAAAATCACATGTGGTTATCTGTACTATTCAGTGATGAGAAAAAATGGAACATCGATCGTCCTGAAGGCTCGAACTCTTATTGTCATGTCCTTCAAAAAGATCCAAGTAATTTCTTCAGCATGCAGCAATGAGGCAAATTTCTATTGGTTTTAGAAGCATTTGGATTTAATGGATTCTCTGGGGTATACATTCCATTTTCAAGACATGGGAGAAACTGAATGTATATTTCAACTATACGCAGTTCCTCGATGTATGCTTCACGTTTGACAACAAAAAAAAATTTCTCGTCGTAATGTTCATTTACTACATTGACTTGCCCTGGGCCCAGACGTAAATTCAATTAAGAACGCTTGGGGTATTTTAAATTTCTAAATATATAGAAATGGTAAACAATCGAACACTGTCACAACTCCAAGAGCCTATTGAGGGCATTCTTTCCCTACAGTAAGTTCAGAAGCTAATTAATTCACTGGAAATAGGTTTATTAAGAATAATTGGGGAATTAATATCCAAGTATAATTATTTTAAGACTGCTAATAAGTGTCATTTTAGCTATTATGCTTGAACTTTTGTGACAGCCTATTTACCAAAGTCATGATAAAATAAATATTTTTCAGCAAATTATTTCCGTTTTTAGTTACGACAAATGAGAATGTCTTTTCTTTAACCTTCTATTGTCTTTAAAAATCAAAATATTTTGCTTGTTGCTTAAACTTTTGAGACGTATAGTTAAAAAGTATAGTTTATTTATCAAAGCAAGATAGTATAGTAAACAAGGTATACATATGTAGCTACATAGCAAACGCGAATGGAATCCAGATGTATTCGTGATATTAAAAAATCGTGAATGAAATTCGTGATATAGAGGTTTGACTGTATTTTAAGCTACCACACAAGAAACAACTTGAACACATATACTCTAAATTTTAATGTTCATTAAAATATTTTTTGTAAAGATGACTAATTCTTATGAGAACAAGTCCTTAACTCCAAGATAGGCCTAACTGAATATCCATTGG